GTTGTCATGACTGATAATGCATGGAAAATGTGCCAGATTGTGCCAATCAAAACTACTGTTTGTATGTTCAGAGTGCAGTTTATACTTCAACAATGTAGTGACTTCGGATAAGATTGTCATGCAGGTTGCAAGTATTTGATTAAAATTCTACCACACAATCTTCAACGAGCAGTATTGCAAGTGATTAATGACAATCTTCTTAAGACTAGAATTCATTTGAACTACTGGCGAAAATTGTAAAGGCTCCATCTCTCCTTCCTTTTACATTTGGAGTTAATAACCCCCGGTTTTAATTCAGTTCAACTAGTCGATACCTTCTACTTATTTTAGCTATTTCACAAACTTACACTGCCATGAATTGTCGTTGTAGCCTCCAAAAATGTAGCTTCCGACCCTAACAATTGTTATAGTGGGTCCTTTATTATCGCAATTTCTGTGAAAGGTCTTTGACCTCCAGCCATGATTAGAGGCCCTATAACACAGTTTCCAATAACTTCGGTCTTGACTTTGCAAGTGGGGAAGAAGCCAGGTATTTAACTGCGATATCTTGCTGGCATCATTCGCTAAAATAACGGAGTCATCGAGACCACCTGGTAAAAAGAAAGTAAATCAGAAATTCATCCTTTTTAAAGATGCTATATTTCGGAAACTGACAATGACTCCAACAGTTGCTATACCTAAAAAAACCACTTGACTAATTAAAAATATCGGCGGGGTTAGCCTAAAATACACTCAAAATTAAAGTACCCAAGATAGTCAGAAGCAATCGAAATAATAAACGAGCAAATGTCGCTTTCGGTACATTTGAAATTTCATTAATAGTATATTCTTGGACAAGAGCATAATCAAGATGATCGACAAGCAGGCGAGGGGTTGCTCTCTGGCGACATAAATATTGGTGGATACCTTTCCCCGCAAAATAGAAGTTAACAATTGTCAGAGTAGTGGTAAAACGAAGAGAACAAAATGAAGTAAAACATATAATTCCGCTTACGATGAGGAGTGCATGTTTTCCCGTCACCAATGTAATGCGCATTCACGTCGCACTTGCAAGTAAATGACCCTTCAGTGTTAGTGCAGATTGCATTGGAGTGACAGTCATGGGTGTTGAGCGAGCATTCATCAACATCTGGAAGATAAGAAGACTTTTATTTATTTCAAGCTGGACCTTTTTTTTTGTCAACGAATGTCATAGTCATAGGAGTGAACTTTTCAAGACCTAACAAGAACAGTAGTAGACCATTAAGAAGAGATGGCTTCCAATTCTGTGCATGTAAGCAGTGGTGAATTCAGATCTGCAAGTAAGTAGAGTGCTCGGCCTGGAAAATGATTTTACTCAACCCTTCGGGCTTCCGTTTAGCCTAAAAATAAGGAGGGGGTGCGGGCCGCTGCTGAAAATGTATGTTTGGAACATATGAAGAGTCAAGTTAAAGTCTTTCTTCTTCCGTTTATATTTCCTTATGTTTATCACCGCAGTTTGCTTTTTATTTCTTCTTAAACGACATCAGTAGAAGAAGAGGAAGAACAAGAATGAGAAGAACAAGAAGAACAACGAGGGTGGAACATAACCGTTTACCGGTCACTTTTTATAAATGGACCTCCACGCAACAGGTATTAGTTATAAAAAAATTTAAAATAAAAATGAAAAATTCTACAACTTCCATAAATGTCTGAAAGGATCTGAAAACCTTAAAATGTGCTTATAAGGCTTTATCTTAATTGGTAAACTTATCCTGTAGTGTTTTTTCTGAACATTNGCAACAGGTATTAGTTATAAAAAAATTTAAAATAAAAATGAAAAATTCTACAACTTCCATAAATGTCTGAAAGGATCTGAAAACCTTAAAATGTGCTTATAAGGCTTTATCTTAATTGGTAAACTTATCCTGTAGTGTTTTTTCTGAACATTGCGAAGGAAACTATGTGGGGCCCGGCCGCCTCTTTTGTCCGGGACTTTTTTTTCGTTTCTAAGCACGTGTTGGATGGTATTTCGAATTGGTTACTTAAGTACATATTAATTTGCTTTAATAAACATTGTTAACAATTAGCATTTATTGAATTCGGCTTTTGTAGGATATGAAGAATTAATTCTGCAGATCGAGGAGGGTGCTATCCACCGAGGCCGGAGGCCGGTGTGGATAACACCCTCCGAGATCTGATGCAGAATTCTTCATCCTACGAAAGCCGAATTCAATAATTGTTTTATCATTCCTTCATGCCAAAATAATTCCAAGTTTAAAAACAAGCTAAAACATGCTAACCTTGGTCGATGTAAGTTCATATCGACAATGCATCTTTATCGGGAAGTTTAGGAGATAAAGGTCTGTTCAGGTCTGCAAATATACTCCAAATAGCAGATGTTGTCCGTCTTCATGTTGTTCTTGCCATGTTTATAGACAATACTTAGCCGTGAAACGAGTAAAATGTTCCGCCGACTGTTCAGCCATTTTGTTCTCACTACCAAAACGACTGAACCTCATCCCCAGCTTTTCTCGGTTAACGGTTCAATAACCTGCAACCAGGCTGCACTTTTGATGTCATTTGACATCATCGGTTCAATAAGACAAAATTCTTGCCAAATTTGGTCAACAGTAGCTGGTTATGGTGAATTACGCGTGTGGTTTTAACCAATCAGAAACTGGGAAATGTTTTGAATGAACAATAAGAAAATTTATCGAACGTTGTTCGAATCAACCGCCCTTATAAACTAGCTTCAAACCGACAAACTGAAAGATGTTACAGACGTCGCATTTATTCCGTAAAAAAGACGAGGGATGCATTAAAGGAAATTTCTTTTGTTGATTTTTTTTATAAATCTTCCTAGAATCTGTGTTCTAAGCCTTCATTTTGAGTCACAAAATGACCAAAGCTCCCAGAATGCATGCAGTAAATATCCGTGTCAAACAAACTGGATTTGACAAGTTTTTAGGGAGACAATGTTGCCGCTTTTGCCGGGAAATTGTCCTCTTGCCGCAATCGCTTCGGCCCCTGCTAGCATCATAAAGTGTTAATTACTTCCTTGACCACAACCAAACCTGTGATTTATTAAATATTTCAGCATTAGTTGTTCAATATGGAATCCGGGCATTAGCTTAATTTAAGCGTTCAGAAGGCACTAGATTGCATCTCAGACAGCTTCAATCTCAAAAATTTTCCCGGAGGAGCATGCGCCCGAAACTCCATAAAAAAGTGCGCGGTACGCAGTGCTGATGGGCGCCATCGCCCCAATACTGCCACTGTATACTACGTCTCTAGGCCCCCTCTATCGTAAAATTCTCCGTCCGCCCGTGCACATTGCCCCATAAAATAATTTTCGACCTTAGAGAATTTGCTCAGTAGAGACATCGTTAGCATATGTTATTATTCTCATATTCTCATCAAGTCTGAGGTACTCAGGGAATTCAAGATATGGTCAGGAGCCTTTCACTTCTTCCGTCCGCCACATTGAAAACCGAAATTTGCGTGCCCGCGGATAAAGCCGCTGACTGTCTAGAATTTCTGGCTATGTTTTGAAAGTGGTCCAATTATCGTTAGTGCCTCTCTTGGCGGTGTGCGACAAACGCAGACTGCAGACTTGCAGACCGCAGACCTGCAGACTCGTAGACCTGTAGACTTGCAGACTTGCAGACACGTTCGGAACTCACAGCGGGGGGGGGATAATTGCCCCCGCAGGGATCTCGTCCAGGGGCCGAAATCCCGAGGAGGCACTCTAGTAACTCGCGCGTATATTAAGGAAAGTACTTACAGTTGAAATATACAGTCAGTATGCCAGAAAAAATCTTGATTTGCTTGAACAGGGGCCGCAAGGAATCGGTAGGTAATGATGACGTGATGAAGACAGAAAATTCCGAAGGGACCGCTTAGGTAGATTTTGTGACATTTATTGTGCAGTCATACTTCGATACTCTTTTGCGTTACGTGTTATCAGTGACATTCTGTGGAGCAGTTGTTTCAGTGAAAGTTATGGACCAAAAGACACTCGTTAAGCGCAGATGAAGTTATAAGGTGCGTACAACCGTTTGTATATAAACACTTGGAGAGTTTGCCAGACACGAGTTCACAAATCTTTGATTGCAAACCTTGCCAGACACTCTTTCTCTCTCTTTGACCGGAATAAGACTCGGCCCCAAACAAGCAAGACGAGTGAACAACGGCTAGCTTATCACTAGCAAACGATGGATGATTACAGAAATTTGCCGACAATCAAATTCTGTGCTGACTTATTCCCTGCTCACAGATGTCCTTCCGCTATAAAGCCGCTCGATGATCCCACCCGTCTTCTTCTTCGCTGCTCTCGCTGAAGTTTAGGTCACCGTTCTTCCGATGTTAAGTCTTCCACGGCAAGGATTTCCAGTCACCTGTCGAATCGGGCACTGTTGTGCTTGCAGCCCGCTAGCGCTGTTGTTTGCCTCAGACATACTTTGCGATTCGCCAACAGTAAACAGAGCAAAGCCCTGTCACAAAAAATGTAGGTCTGCAAATCTTTGAGTCTGCAAGTCTGCTAGTCTGCAAGTCTGCAGGTCTGCAGGTCTGCAAGTCTGCAGTCTGCGTTTGTCGCACACCGCTCTCTTGGTCTTCAAGTCCTTGTGGCTTTGCTGACCCATCCGAGTTCGCTGCCTTTCACGGGCTTTCTCTAGCTCATTCTTCTGCCTTTAACTATGTGGCTTCCCTGCTTTGTATCGATCGTGATCTCCCTTTAACCCTCCTGGTTCTCTCTTTCGTCGCTCGCCGGTTTAAATAGGGAGATTGTTCTTAGTCTAGTGGCTAACCGGAGATCTCCTTGCTTCAAATCGATGAGCTTCTCAGTTCCAGGAATGGCAAACATACAGTGTAAACATATATGCGAACAATATTCAGGTTATGGGAAACGAAGTAATAACGCAGCAACGTATTATAGTTAATTATAAACAAATTAAGAACACGCAAGGTTGGACAGAAATCTCACTGCGGGTTCTATTCTAGAGTGCTAGGAATAAGGGAGATCTAGCCAAAAGTACTGAAAAAAAAACACCTCTTTACCAAAAAGAATTCCTCTTGCATTTTAAGTGTTTATATCATGATAATATTTTGTATCTACTTAAAATGTAAGAGCTTTTTGACCTTCGATCTGCTAGCTATAACTCGCCCTCGTTCCATAGCCCGTGGTTATGACTAGCTTTAGTAATAACTGATAAGTACTTATTAGCCGATTAACACGCACTATATTGTTCAGGTGGATGAGTCTGGATAACCAGTGAAAACAGTTTAAAACCACATGTGCTTGGAAACGACTTAAATCCAGTGCGTAGATTTAGCTAGTCAAAACAACATTCTAGTTTGCCACAATGTGGATTTGCATCTTCAATCGGCGACAAAATTGTTGAGACATTGTACTCAAATAGGGTAACTTCGGAGAACAAAAGAATCCGCACCCCTCCCCTGTCCCCTCCATTCAAAGTTGGGGTGTGTGTTGTTTTCTATAGGTAGCTAGAACAAGGGCACAACATTGCACGGAGGGGATGGGGGAGGAATGCTATATTTCCTCCTTTTGAAGTTAGTAAAACGCAAAAAAGCCCAGTTTTGGGCGAAGTGTCTCAACACATTTTGTCGCCGATTGTTGCCTTTCCGTGCCAATGAAGACTCTTTCACTCCGGTAAGACAATTCAATTCAGTTTATGGTCATTTAAATTAAGAATGAGTGACATTGCCCATTACATCTGGTTATACTTAACAAAACAAAAAAAAAAACAAAAACGAAAACAATGATAACATAAAACAGTATGACTAAATAGCTTCAATCTTGTAGAAGAATAAAATGTCCAAGCTTGCAAACAAAAGGAATTATATCTTTGAGAGTAGGGAGTGTCATACTGATCTGTGCTCAGTAAGAAAAATACTGATATGTTTTCAGTAGAGAAAATAAGGATATTGAACAGGCAACTCAAACTCTTTATTTCTATCTATGAGCTTTAGTTTATAGGTTACTGATACTATTTTAATAAAGAAAAAATGAACTATCTGCCTGTGCTTATCTGAGTTTAATTGTTTCGGAAGGGTTTCCATTGACGCGAATAATGTTTCTCCGTTTGATCGGTTCAAAACAAAATCGCTTCAGACGCGTTGGAATCTGAGGACGATCACTATTGTTTCCATGAATTTATCGAATATTTTAATAGTTTGAATTCGCACAAAAAATTGCTAAGGGAAGTTGAAGATGGGGCTGGGACAAACATCCTTCCCAGACACCCTATTATTCATATGTGAAGTACGAGGGTGGCATCAAACAGCATACAATAGAAAACAATGCAATACCTACACGAATCGGTCAGATTTGAATTTTCTGTAGAGCTAAAAAAAATTACTGACAAATTCAGTTAAACTACCGTTATTTGTTAAAACCCGTTGCAGTTAAATCGGTCTTTAAGGAGAGTCGTAAAATAAAGGAACGCCAGAACAATAAAGAGGCTCTACTCGCTACTGCTATACAAGTGGCCTTCGAGATTCCTAAGAATACCTACGGGGGTAAGTCCTAACAACAGAAAACACTTACTTATAGCAAATTCGTACCATGGAACTAAGCTACCAACAAAAAAGCCCTTCTGGTCCATCATAGGGACAAAACTAGTCGCGCTATGGCTAACCGCTGTTGGCGCTTTAACACCTCATTTTGTTGCTGAAACTTCTGCTTTTGATAACTCGAAAGTTCCAAATATAACGAATTTCCACAAGTTAGATGCTAATCATCTTTTTTTTCATGAGTTGCGTTAATTTAAAAATATCATGAAAAAGATGTTATAATTAGCTCTCTTTTTGACTGAGCAAAGAATAGTCAAAGACGGAGAGCTGATTTATTTATTTATTCATTTTTTGCTGCTACTTATTTTTGTTGGCTTGTTGATGTTTTTGATGTGGCTGGTGTTGTTGTTATTTTGTTTTTTTTTTTGCTTTCCTTTTGTAATGTGGCTTGCCCAGTTTCAAGTAAGGACTTCGTAATAAACCTCTAGCTCATCTGGACAAAAATTATTTCCATATCGTGTTCCAACCCAGAGAGAATTGTCACAATAGGAACCACGGTACGCCTGACAAACAGAAATGTAAGAATTAGTATTGTATGCTGCATTGTCTGCAATGTAGATATCATGGTGCCCAAAAGTTGGAAAATAGCTATAGTAGCTGTACGTGGCCGTATGATAGTCGTGGGTTATGTCCTTTTTAAAATATCCATAAGCTCCGTAGTTTTTCAGTGAGTATAAGAAGGTATTTGTCGAATATTGATAACCAGCAGACCCTGAAGAGACAAAAAAACAGAACACAAACAATTAGAGATCCATTGTTGCTCAGTCGAATTCAATAGACCATTTTACAGTTATGGATGGAAACGAGGCTGGAGTGGACCTTGCTTTGATAGAACCATTTCTGCTTTCTTAATATGTAAATCGTGTATTTCTTATTCGAACTAGTATTTTTCAAGCATAATTTCCATAAGAAAACAAAGGAGGTTTGTTTTAAAAGATGGTTATGCTCTGAGGTGCAATAACAGCATCATTTTACCTAAGAGACTTGTCAGAAAATAGCAGGGGGGAGGGAAGGTGGAGATTTTCAGTTCGTCGATGAAAATGAAATGACCCTTTCTAGGTAAGGGATTCAAATGTCCCGAACCTCCCCTGGAAAGCGTCCTAAAATTCTATGACCCTCCCATTAGTCAGAATTCTCATAACCCTCCCTTTTGAAGGGCTCAAAAAACTGCGACCCTCCCCTGTTTTCCACCTCCCCTCCCCTCCTGCTAATTTCTGACAAGTCCCTAAATGCAAGATAATTAGTTTTAGGAATAGTTGTATTATTAGATCTTGTGTTGATAATACATATATAAGTAGATTTTTAGACTTTTTATCTCATTTTTCATACTTTTGTATTTACTGTACTTAGTTTTATTTGCATATTTTATCAATTGTAAATACGCAATTCAGCCTTCGAGCTGCAAAGAATTGGTAATTAAACCATCTATCTAACTATCTATCTATCATGATCAACCTCAGCCTTGCACTCACTTGAAGTCTAGGGTTTTAAGCCCACAACTGTAAAGTGGTCTATTTTTAGGAAACGGTGGAGGGATAGTAAATACTGAGAGCAGTAAAGTAGTATATAATGTGTGAAATACCACATAAATCACGCTCAGATCCTCATGAACTGGAGCATGATAAGTTGCCACCAACTTCGTCCCCAGGGCTTTTCCATTAGAAAATTTAAAACAAACTGCGGTCCACCCCTCTATAAGATTTCAAGAAAAAGACCTGACAGAACCAGGTGCAGTACAGTAGCACTAAGCCCGAACTTCTCAACTAAGCCCCATACCCCACCTCTAACGCGCTCGTTAAAAAAAAAAAACAAATAAACAAATAATTAAAATATATTATATTTAAAGCAGCCAGAGCCTGGGCTCAACACAGTTTTCTTGGTGGCATGTTTGGAGTGTTTCAAGAGGAACAAGCATTTATCTTTCTAGATCTGGATACGTCTAATTCCCGATCGTACAAGAAAACGCACGGACAAGCCGTTGTTCAAGGAAAGGCCAGTGGCTAAAAACGGTTGTCATGACTGATAATGCATGGAAAATGTGCCAGATTGTGCCAATCAAAACTACTGTTTGTATGTTCAGAGTGCAGTTTATACTTCAACAATGTAGTGACTTCGGATAAGATTGTCATGCAGGTTGCAAGTATTTGATTAAAATTCTACCACACAATCTTCAACGAGCAGTATTGCAAGTGATTAATGACAATCTTCTTAAGACTAGAATTCATTTGAACTACTGGCGAAAATTGTAAAGGCTCCATCTCTCCTTCCTTTTACATTTGGAGTTAATAACCCCCGGTTTTAATTCAGTTCAACTAGTCGATACCTTCTACTTATTTTAGCTATTTCACAAACTTACACTGCCATGAATTGTCGTTGTAGCCTCCAAAAATGTAGCTTCCGACCCTAACAATTGTTATAGTGGGTCCTTTATTATCGCAATTTCTGTGAAAGGTCTTTGACCTCCAGCCATGATTAGAGGCCCTATAACACAGTTTCCAATAACTTCGGTCTTGACTTTGCAAGTGGGGAAGAAGCCAGGTATTTAACTGCGATATCTTGCTGGCATCATTCGCTAAAATAACGGAGTCATCGAGACCACCTGGTAAAAAGAAAGTAAATCAGAAATTCATCCTTTTTAAAGATGCTATATTTCGGAAACTGACAATGACTCCAACAGTTGCTATACCTAAAAAAACCACTTGACTAATTAAAAATATCGGCGGGGTTAGCCTAAAATACACTCAAAATTAAAGTACCCAAGATAGTCAGAAGCAATCGAAATAATAAACGAGCAAATGTCGCTTTCGGTACATTTGAAATTTCATTAATAGTATATTCTTGGACAAGAGCATAATCAAGATGATCGACAAGCAGGCGAGGGGTTGCTCTCTGGCGACATAAATATTGGTGGATACCTTTCCCCGCAAAATAGAAGTTAACAATTGTCAGAGTAGTGGTAAAACGAAGAGAACAAAATGAAGTAAAACATATAATTCCGCTTACGATGAGGAGTGCATGTTTTCCCGTCACCAATGTAATGCGCATTCACGTCGCACTTGCAAGTAAATGACCCCTCAGTGTTAGTGCAGATTGCATTGGAGTGACAGTCATGGGTGTTGAGCGAGCATTCATCAACATCTGGAAGATAAGAAGACTTTTATTTATTTCAAGCTGGACCTTTTTTTTTGTCAACGAATGTCATAGTCATAGGAGTGAACTTTTCAAGACCTAACAAGAACAGTAGTAGACCATTAAGAAGAGATGGCTTCCAATTCTGTGCATGTAAGCAGTGGTGAATTCAGATCTGCAAGTAAGTAGAGTGCTCGGCCTGGAAAATGATTTTACTCAACCCTTCGGGCTTCCGTTTAGCCTAAAAATAAGGAGGGGGTGCGGGCCGCTGCTGAAAATGTATGTTTGGAACATATGAAGAGTCAAGTTAAAGTCTTTCTTCTTCCGTTTATATTTCCTTATGTTTATCACCGCAGTTTGCTTTTTATTTCTTCTTAAACGACATCAGTAGAAGAAGAGGAAGAACAAGAATGAGAAGAACAAGAAGAACAACGAGGGTGGAACATAACCGTTTACCGGTCACTTTTTATAAATGGACCTCCACGCAACAGGTATTAGTTATAAAAAAATTTAAAATAAAAATGAAAAATTCTACAACTTCCATAAATGTCTGAAAGGATCTGAAAACCTTAAAATGTGCTTATAAGGCTTTATCTTAATTGGTAAACTTATCCTGTAGTGTTTTTTCTGAACATTTCGAAGGAAACTATGTCTCTATATATGAGTGACCTAACTCATTCTATAAACGACAAGCAGTTGCGAACTTCCTACGCTAAGTCCTGATTTTCTTTAACAGAGAGGTGGCAGAACGTTATTATTGGCGGCGGATCTAGTACTATGAGCATGTGAAGAACGGACATGTTTCAAAAAGGACGTGAAATAATCAGGACGATGATCTTGACCCACTTTGTGTTTGAGAAGTTTCCTTATACGTATGATGTCACCTATTTAAGCCAACCTAATTTATCGAAAAGCTTTAGAGAGCTGTCGTTTACAGTATTCAGTATTTATTCAAAAAAGGCTCGTACCTCGACAGGTTCGTCCATCCCCCGTGAAGCCGCTGTTACATGTGCACGTGTAGGATCCATCTGCATTGCAACATGTCGCACTGCTGTCACACTGGTGACCTGAAGAGCATTCGTCGACATCTGAAGCAAGGAAAATTTCTCTTTAGAAAGTTCCGTCGGATTTTGAAGCTTCTGGAATGGTGGCCCCATCAGTATACAAAAAAAAGCCTCACATAATGAATCCCCGAAAGCTTTAGCCGGTGTAACAAGCGACCCCACTCGGGTTTGTCGAGAACGTTGAAACCAGAGCGATAAGCTACCCAGTCTACAAGAGCTTAGATTTTGAAATTGCAGGGAAATACAACAACCGTACGTACATGTTCTTATTCTATGAACTTTAGTTCTCTTTTTGGGCTGTATTTAAAGTTATAGTATGGTCTGTATACCTATGAACTATAAAATAAGGATAGTTAAGCAACTTTATTGCTGTTATTCATAGAGATTAGGAAATAATGAGCAAATTTTATCATCTCTGAAATTGGAAAAAAAAATGCTGAGAAGACTTTCCTCCTAATTTATTCCAGCCTATATTCAAACCCTTATTATACTACTATTATACGCTGCTCAGTATCTCTGAAAGAGTTATTTGAAACATAAATGTTCGCGCAATTTAACGGTGAAAGCATGCTTATTGTACCGTATTCTTGCTAGCCTTATACTCACAAGAGATGTCTGTTTACTATTGGATGAGTTTCCTTTGATAATTATGCTTCATGAATTAAACGAAAAACTACAACTTGGGGCTTCGAACATAGTACCTCTGCAAAGCAAGCCATCACCAGTATATCCTACGGAGCACCGGCAGCTATAGGAGCCAATAGTGTTTGTGCAGATGGCGTTCTGATGACAGTGGTTATTGTTTCCTCCACATTCATCAAAATCTAATTTTAAAAACAAATATAAAACAATCGTTTAGTCAATCAACCAGCAAAAAAAATAATGAAACGATCGATTGTCAATTGACTTTTTTAACAAAAGAATAAAAATTAAAATAATTGCTCATATGAGTAAGTCTTCCACGGCAAGGATTTCCAGTCACCTGTCGAATCGGGCACTGTTGTGCTTGCAGCCCGCTAGCGCTGTTGTTTGCCTCAGACATACTTTGCGATTCGCCAACAGTAAACAGAGCAAAGCCCTGTCACAAAAAATGTAGGTCTGCAAATCTTTGAGTCTGCAAGTCTGCTAGTCTGCAAGTCTGCAGGTCTGCAGGTCTGCAAGTCTGCAGTCTGCGTTTGTCGCACACCGCTCTCTTGGTCTTCAAGTCCTTGTGGCTTTGCTGACCCATCCGAGTTCGCTGCCTTTCACGGGCTTTCTCTAGCTCATTCTTCTGCCTTTAACTATGTGGCTTCCCTGCTTTGTATCGATCGTGATCTCCCTTTAACCCTCCTGGTTCTCTCTTTCGTCGCTCGCCGGTTTAAATAGGGAGATTGTTCTTAGTCTAGTGGCTAACCGGAGATCTCCTTGCTTCAAATCGATGAGCTTCTCAGTTCCAGGAATGGCAAACATACAGTGTAAACATATATGCGAACAATATTCAGGTTATGGGAAACGAAGTAATAACGCAGCAACGTATTATAGTTAATTATAAACAAATTAAGAACACGCAAGGTTGGACAGAAATCTCACTGCGGGTTCTATTCTAGAGTGCTAGGAATAAGGGAGATCTAGCCAAAAGTACTGAAAAAAAAACACCTCTTTACCAAAAAGAATTCCTCTTGCATTTTAAGTGTTTATATCATGATAATATTTTGTATCTACTTAAAATGTAAGAGCTTTTTGACCTTCGATCTGCTAGCTATAACTCGCCCTCGTTCCATAGCCCGTGGTTATGACTAGCTTTAGTAATAACTGATAAGTACTTATTAGCCGATTAACACGCACTATATTGTTCAGGTGGATGAGTCTGGATAACCAGTGAAAACAGTTTAAAACCACATGTGCTTGGAAACGACTTAAATCCAGTGCGTAGATTTAGCTAGTCAAAACAACATTCTAGTTTGCCACAATGTGGATTTGCATCTTCAATCGGCGACAAAATTGTTGAGACATTGTACTCAAATAGGGTAACTTCGGAGAACAAAAGAATCCGCACCCCTCCCCTGTCCCCTCCATTCAAAGTTGGGGTGTGTGTTGTTTTCTATAGGTAGCTAGAA